GTGTGTGTGTGTGTGTGTGTGTGTGTGTGTGTGTGTGTGTGTGTGTGTGTGAAACAGACCCAGGAAGAGAGTGTATGCGGACAAATGCTCAACATTCATATGTTAAGGAGTCTGGGAGGCCAAGGCTCCCAGGGAGAGAGCCTTCATGTTCATCGGTTGGAGATGCGTCCCACTCACATTCTCCTAAGTAAAAGTTATTCCCCACAGCGTCCCCCATAATAATGCCATGTTTAAGATGCTGTTTGCAAGCACATGGTCACTGACTATACACTTGGAGGTCAACTGCTTGAAGGCCATCTGCCTGAAGGTTGTCTGACATCAAAAGCAACCAGACCCTGTTGTCTGTCCCACACACAGTAGGACCCACTCCCTTCTGGTAAGGATAATGGATTGTTCCCCTGGAGAAGAGCTCAGACACCCAAGGTCAAGCCAACTCAGGGATGACCAAGGTTAGGCTGCCATCTTGACTCTAGAGCCCGCCCATCTTGTTACATATATGCCTTCCTGTCACATATGTAAGGTGACCAGATTTTAACATTGGTAAAGCGGGACACCATTGACTGGAGGGGTGGGGGGAGGGTCTTGATTAAAAATTTGGTCTATTTGGATCAAATAGACTGTTCCCTAGCTTGTCATGCATTCTTTCCAAAAATCGGGACTTTTTAAAAATGCTGTGGGACATTTTAAATCAGGACTGTCCCGCCAAAAGCGGGACGTCTGGTCACCTTACACGTGTGCCCCTAATGCCTCCCCTTCCTATTGTGTGTACCCCCCTAGCTCGTCCCTCCTCCTGTTACATATATGCGTATTGTACAACCCTTTCCTGTTACATATGCACTTACTGTGGCCTGAATGCCCCAGATTATAAAAACTCATGAGATTACACTACTCACCCTCTCTGTTCAGACCTGCCTCCTGAAGTCATGATTGAGGAGTTGAGCCCTTGTATGCTTTATCTTGTCCTATCTCTTTAATTTACCCCTCAATCACACAACCTCCCCTTGGACCCATTCGGTTGTGGGGCGGCTGGTCCCCCTCATGTGCAACGTCAGTGCTTGCCATTGGCACACTTTCCTCTAGCAGCGACTATGCAGATAAGGTGCTTGTGATCCACCAAGAGCACTGGACAGCTTGCTAACAATGAGGTGCATCGTCCCCTTATGGAGTGGAGCCAGGCAGATAGGGTGCGTGGAGTCCTAACGAGGGGATTGGTCAGGTTTGCCATCTACAGTGAGCTGTGCCAGAGGTAGGACCTCTCACTCCCATCACGAAGGGCTTGTATCTTTTGGACCCCCCAGTTACTCTGCAGAGACGCCTCTGCGTCAGAACTGTAGCACGGGAGAAGACTAGATGGCGAGAAGCCAGTGGCAAGCGCAGCAGAGAACACAGCAGCCGCAGAACCAGGAGACCAGCAGGAGGCAGCACTGTGGACCAGGAAGTGAACAAGCCAATCCACGGAGCAAGGGTCCGGAGTACCTGTAGTGAGTGGGGATGCCTCCGAGTATTTATTGGCAGAGCTAAAAGAACTTTGTAACACCTGCCAGAGGAGAGCAGAAGCCAGGCCCAGGGCTTGAGAAGGGAGGCCTGTCCGGAGGGGTTTCTGAGGATGGCTGTACAACTGAAAGGAGACAGAGGGAGCCATCCTGCTTTGAAGAAAGGAGACTTGCAACATACTTCCTGATTGCGATCCCGACCTGTAACCTGGTGCTTCCTTAATGAACCACATAATCATGAGTGTTGCCTGTGAATTGCATGCCCATGGCAGTGAATTCTAGAACCCAGCAGGAGTGGAGCATGCAGTGGGAGTGCCATGCGGTGTCAGGACTGGTAAGAAGGCTGGAGGGTAGAGGTATGTTTGCCCTCCAAGAATCAAGCTTGGGATAATGTC